TTGCACCTGGCACGGGCACCGTAGCCAGCCCATGCCCCTTTAAGGGGTCCGGGGCCGGGAGGGGAGCAGTAGAGTTTTCCTGGTGTTGGCCAGAGTGGCCACCAGGGAAAGCTGGGGAGGGCCAGCCTCCCACTAGTTTGAATTAAGGGGCTACACACCCCTTAATTCGAACTAGTAAGTTCGAACTAGGCTTAGTCCTCGTGGAATGAGGTTTACCTAGTTCGAATTAAGCGCTCCGTGGAGCGCTAGTGTAGCGTCTATCAAAGTTAATTCGAACTAATGTCCGTTAGTTCGAATTAACTTTGTAGTGTAGACATACCCTCCCAGAAGCTACATTTGTCATAATTCTTGGCACTTCCATCCAATGCTCTCTATGCACTTTAGGCCCACACAGCCTGCTGAGATGGGTAACTATTGAATTTAGCCCCCACACGCCTGCTGAGATGTGTAACAACTATATGTCTTTTGCCCCTTGGAAGTGTGCACTTGTCACTGCTGCACACGGCAGCATATCTAACTGCATATGGCAAAAGCAGGGATAGAACTTGGATCCTACGGTTTCAAAAAAACAGTCCCCTATCATGTAAGGTCAGGGAGAATCTCCATTAGCACCATAGGACCTATGACACACAGGCAATTCTAACCCCATACAGTAGATGGCAGTGGTAAACAGCTAGCTAATTCATTATGGCATTCAGATCTCCACAAAACAGGCAGGGGTGGAAAAGAGGCCCAGAGGCCCTGTGTATTCAAACTTTGTAGCCAGCAATCTCTAAGGCCCAATCTACACTAAAGCTTGCCCAGTGGAGCTGCACCCAGGGTGAATGACAAGTTGGCATCACTCCACTGAAGCCCTTAGAGCTAGGCCCATTGTCATCTGCACTAGCCGGGAACCGGCCCAACCACTGAAATTGTTTTGGGAGGGGCAGAGAGGCCAGGGTTGCCCTTTCTGATTGTTTTAAAGAGATACGGGTCATGGAGTCCTGATACTGACTAGGGGTTCGTAGGTGCGGCAGTGATATAAATCATCAAGGTGGGACACAGCGTGTAGGCCTCCCACTGCTACAATGGGCGATACTATTCTGAAGTCGTGGGGCCGGATCCTCAACTGGTATAGACCAGCCTAACTCCTTGGATTTCCCTGGAGCTACACTAGTTTTCACCAGCTGAAAATCTGGCCTTTGGGATAGAGCCTGTTTACTGAGGGATCTCAAAGCAATTGACAACTACTGATTCCAAGAACACTCATCATCTTAAGGCGTATAACTAGCATGGGGAATGACTGCAACACCTTCCTTATTCCTTTCCCCACAAGCAATCCCATTAAAATCAATGGGATGATTTGAGATCTAACTACCCAGCATGGGGAAGGGTAGTGCCATATGGCCCTGGGGAAATGCATTTTTATAACTGGGCTAGGCCAGGGCTCTGAGCCAACTAGCCACCAGTGGGATGGCAAGGAAGGACGACAAACTGGAGCAGGGGGAGTCGTATCACCATACCAGATGAGGGTTAATCTTCGAGTCAAGGATCACTTCCAATGTCCTATAGATCCAGGTGTGCCTGTAAGGATGTTTCTCTGGAGGGCGGTAGAGATCAAATATCACAAGTTTACTCGCACTGTCTGCAAGTCTCAAGAAATTACTTAGCTTGTAAATTGACTGATTCTTTGCCAATTTTTGATCTGCACTTGACAGTGAGCCCATGCATGAAAATGGTTTGTCCTAAAAATAAATAAATACACAAGGAGATAAATGAAAGTCAGGCGGAGTTAGCTGCATACACACAGTTCCTGCATCGCTAAGGGGGAAGTAGGTTCCCATCAGCTCTCAGTGGGGTGAAAAAGTTAATTTCTGTTTCTCTCTCCTGTAGCTTTCATATTCTATATGCCATAGGTCTCTGTGTTCTCCCCTTTAACTCACAATGAACATTTTAATCCTGGTTCTTTGATTCCGTACATCGGCCTTGCAGCCACATTAAAAAAGCAGGGCCGGGATTGAGAACGAATTAATTCTGCAGCTGCTAGCTGGTAAAAAGTGGGTGGGGATGCCCTGCTCTCCTGCCCCCTATGGGCTGTGTCTAGGCCCTGTCCGAATAGCCTACCTCTTTTTCCTCCACCTCCTCTACGCAGTTACCACAGTTGCGTAAGTGAGTAAACAAAAAGACACCTCCTCTTGCTGTCTCCTGCATAGTTACTGGGACTTATCCCAAGACTCTCATGGACTTCAGTGGGTTTGGGTTCATGCCCACAACTTTTATCCCTTCAATTAGGCACTTTAAGACAGACCTCAGGACAGGGGAGCCGACAACCAAACCGGGCCCCTGGGCAAGGTGCGGGGGAGAGTGGCTCTGCCGTCCCGGAAGGGGCGAGACTTTGGGTAGAAGGGGAAAGGCCTCCGGTAGAAGGGTCAGGGCCGGGGGCAGCCAGGCCCTCGGTGCCACTCCCCTCCCCCAGCGCTCAGTGCGGCACACCAATGGCGATTTAAAGAGCCTGGGGCTCCGGGCACCACTGCTACCACAGTGGCAGCTGCATTGGCTGGAAGTCCTTTGAAATCGTCAGGCCCCAAGGCATCTGTCACTTTCTTCCTCCTCCCTTGCCCCTCCAGTCGGCCTCCCTGTGAACTACCTTACCTTGAGGAACCACTTTCCTGCATTCAGCTTTTCCAGCGCATCCCAGGAAAAAAAGGCAGGATTTTGAGTGATGTTATCGGGAAAGACCTCCCGGATGTTTGTTGTCCTCTTCAAGTTTTTGTCGTGCATCAGGAAGGGAATCCCATCATAGCTGTGATGAAAGGAGAGGGCTTTTGGCAACGTGGACGATGTCATTCAAAGCACGAGCGCCGTAGAACAAGGCCACACTTATACGTGAAGGAGAGGATGGAAAGGGCCCCCTCTGCAATACAGCACCTGGCGTAGAATGCTCTCTCACATAGGTGATCGCATGGGGCCAGACACTAGCCTGCACCGTGTACACTGCAATCAGGGGTGAGAGTGCAGCATGTGCAGACAGACACAAGCAAACTTTGATCTAGCTAGGTCAGACAACAGCACTGTAGCCACAGCAGCACAGGCTGCGCAAGACCCTGTAGGACCCAAGGTAAATACTTTCATGGCTAATTCATGCAGCTGCCTGTTCTGCCCTGGCTTCAGGACTATTACTCAAGCTAGCTAGATTGAAGCAAGCTCAGGTAGCTTGTTATGCTTCTGCCATACCTCGGATTGCAGTGTAGACGTACCCTGGGAGTCAGGAAACCTGGGTTCTATTCCCAACTCTGCATTGGTCGTCTGGTTGACCTCAGAGAGGTCATGTTGCCCAGTGTCTCAGTTTTCCCTTCTGCAAAATGGAAATAACGTTACTTCGCTATGACTTGACAATGACAATGGACCATATTCTGCTCTAGCGTACACCGGCATAATTCTGGAGTTGTTCTGTCAACTTCAGCAGAGCAAAGCTGGATTTACAAGGATGTAAGTGGGAGCAGAATTTGACCCTGTGTAAAGCCCTGACTCTGTGGAGGTCTTGGGCACACGTTTCAGCGTTTGTGCTGATTTGGGGACCTAAATTCATATCTTCCACAGCACTACATAAGCACCAAAAAGCTGATCACCCTACCCAACAGTATAAGGGCAAGGATTCCAGAATGGCACATGAAGAACCTGGCAGTAACTAATCAGGTCCACCGACAGGGTGGGCAGAGGGGCCAGCAGCCCTGGGGCTCGTAGCTGCAAACGCCAGTGCTGCTGAAGTAGCAGCTGCACTGGCTGGATCTTCAGGCCCCTTTAAATCACTGCCAGAGCACTGTGCCACGTGCTTCCAGCAGCACTAAGGGCTGGGGGGGGGGGGCTCCATCTGCCCTCAGCCCTGCCCCTTCTGGAAGTGGGTAGCCAGGTCCCCCCACACCTTGCCCTGGGCCCACGGAGACTGTCGGCTCCGCTGTCACTATTACAGTGCTCTCGTATGCCTTTACAACTTGACTGTGCTCTCTGCACCTCATCCAAATGTCACTGAGGTTTGTAAGCACATTGGGCTAGAGATGTGTCTTCTGGGTGTTTTTTGTGATGTGTCTAACGAACTTGATACACGATAAAGTTTGATTGTAAGCTCCTTGGGGCAGAGACCATCTCTTTGTTCAGGGTTTGCATGGTGCTTATCACGATGGGCTTCTGGTCCCTGACAAGGGCTCTTAGCCACTACCTAATGCAAAAAATAATAAGTCAATACCAAACTCCCACTGTGACAGTGGGAACAGGAACAGGCTTGACATGCAGTTGTGTGAAATGCTAGCTGATGAGGGACTGGACATAGCCCTTAGCCGTGTCGTAGCCAAGTGAAATCTTAGCCAGAGCAAGTTGCTTGGTGAGACACAGAGCTGCCCTCTTACCTAATTGCGACGTCTGACTCGAGACCATCCCCACGGTGCTCAATGGTCTTCTGAAAGGACATCTCCGTGTTTTCCGGCGCCAGCTAGGAAGATGACAGAAGGGAAGGCCAGTCTGACAGGCACCAGATGACTCCCAAGGATGCTTTCAACCACCCTCGCTCCCCCACCCCACTGGGATTGACAGTAAAGATCACTTTGCCCAACATCTGAAAATCTGTTTTACTTGTTTCATGCCTATAAGTCCCATCAGGGCTCTAGGAGCATCTGGGATCATTTACAAATCTGGAAGGCAAGCCTCGGGCCGGACAGCTCTTTCAGCCAGTCTGTAACAGAGCAGGAGGCATCCCTCCCTAAATCAGTACTTCCAAGGCAGAGTTCAACTGCACCGCTAGCCTTTGCTCTTCTCCTGTGGCTGGTGATACTAGCTCCACTCTCCCCATTATACAGGCTTGTAGCCTAACAGTCAACCGTGGCTATTTCATCTCACATGTAGGCTCTCACCAAATCATGCTGCTGCTTTTTAGTGCATTCCTTTTTCTCAGCTCCAACTGCCAACATGCTAGTCTGCCCTCCAATTAGCTCAAGCCTCGACTCCCATTACCTGCACCTCCCCGGCCTACCACTCAGCCACTCAACACATCGCCACCAAAATCATCGTCTCACCACATCTTTCATCTTCTCCCACACCCCTTTTAAGCTTCTCCTCATCACCTTGAAGCGTCTTCCAGTGTCTGCCTCCATCTCATGCTGTGAACTATCCCCATTCTTCAGCATTTTTCCCAAGAGTCACTTTGAAGTGTTCCCCGGCTCATTTCCACACTACCCCCAGTGCCTGCGTTCTTTGACCTTAACCATCAGAAAGCTCTGGGGAAACTGAGGGTGCTTGCTAATGAAACCAGGAAGTCATTTTCTGTATGCAAATCCAAAACAAAGCCAATCCCCTGTGGGCTGTCAGCAGCTGATTGCATAGATCTTGGGGTGGGTTGGGGGAACCTGCAGTCCTCAGCACAGATCCTGAAAGAATAATGCCAAACATCTCCCCCTCTCTCCAGACCTACCATTGGTGCTCCTCTGTGTCCAAGGAGGGCTGGTTTGGGCCCCAGAGTCCCCAGCTCTCTGATGCAGGGTGAGTACATCCCCAGAGGTACCAAGAAAAGGAGCACAAGGATCGCCAGGTATGGACCAATTATTATTGCCTGAAATACTGAAAGAATGCAGAAGGCTAGAGTTAATCCATTTCATAACAGTCGAGTTTGCCTCTGGGACAGACAGATCCGAACTGTTGGGCTCTTGGGCCAAATCTGGTCCTCTAAATCACTAAATCCTTCCCATTAGTTAATCCTCTTCTTTTCTGTGCCTCATGCAGCTCTCCAAACTAAGCCCTGTGCCAGTCTGTCTAGTCGTCAGAGTAGATAATTGGGATTCAGCACTGCTGGGTCAAATGCTTGGTTTGTGTCTTAACTTGCTGTGCAACCTTGAGGAAATTACAGTCCATGCCTCAGTTTCCCCTCCCTGCAACTGTGGAAGGACTAGGATTTACCCAGCGTCATAGGATAGACCCTGAGTGGGTTGATGCTGTTTGTGGGTAACGCTGAAATAGTATTTAGTATTAGGCAGATGATGTGGTAGGAGGCATTTACACTCAAAAGCAGGATGATGCCGTGAGAACCTTTCTCTGTGCCACTTTATCTGTGCATCCTGAGGGCGTGGGGGAAATGCGTCCCTTGTCATTCAGCTTTCTAATGATGGTTTTCCACAGCAGGATTCATTTTTACCTAGAGAGCTGTGGCCTTTTTTTGAAAAAACTTCCCCTGTGTCTCGACTGCAGCCATGTTCTTTCTAAAGTAAATCCAAAGAACATGGCAGGTTTTTTGACCACAGAAAACTTCATTTTACGAGGAAGAATGCCTTTTTTTAAAAGTGCTCTTTCGAAAAAAAGGCTCTATGTAATGCAAACTGTGCTTTTTTGAAAGAGAACATCCAGACTGCCTGGGTGCTTTCTTTCAAAAAAGTGGCTCGCTGGCTGTAGTCTAGACGTAGCCTGAGAAGTTTTTGCAGATGGGCCAAGCTTCCTGTTACAGCACCTTGGAGAGCGTCCCCTTCCCCTTCATGCTGCCCAGTGAGACTGTGCGCTGCACTTCAGATACAAATTCATACCCTAGAGACATGGCTGTGTCTCTGAACAGCACAAATGAAAGCCGCAAAGATCAGGGAGCCAGTGAGAATGTTCAACATCTTTGTTTGCATTAGCTCATTAATGCTCACAACAGCACTGGCAAAGAGGGCAAATAAGCGTAACTGTTTTGCAGATGGGGAAGGCGCGCCAGAGAGGAGGAGATAGTGCCAGAGCTAGAGTTCATACTCGGGAGTTCCTCGCACTCGGGCCTGCCTTCCCACCAGATAAAACTTCTCTGAGCAGCACATCAATCCTTGGAACATTCCAGTAGGGGGGAAATAATTAGCTCGCAAGCTCATCAAGCCATACTAAGGGCTACACTCACTTGTTCCATTTCAGGTGGGTTCTTCTAAAAGCCCCTTCCATGATGTGGAGTAATTGGACAGGCTTTCAGAAGCACTGGCTTGGGATAGGGTTGCAAGCAGGAGCCAGACAGGGAAGAGGATTGGCAGCTTTTCCCCTCAGGCCCCATGTCTGTATGGGCCTGAGAACATCAGGGCTTGTGCTAAACCCTCTCAGGCATAGCAGATTTGCAAAACAAAGGGGCAATTATGACCTTAATGCTTGTCACAATGAGGAAACCCATGGCAGAGAGAGAAAGCATTGTAGCTGCAGGTTTTAAAATTCAAAGATGCAATTATTCCTTTGTGTATTAAGAGGGGTACAGAGGGGAAGGTTGCAAATATTACAGCATCATAAGTATGAGACACTGGGGACAAACGGGATGACCCAATTTCTAACAGAGCAGTTTGTTCACTTATGTCGGTCATGGTATTTCTTATGTAATAAGCAAGTTTCTCCTCAGGCCACAAGAAACAGGGAGGCTGTTATTTGCTGAGAGCCTATTACGTGTTCAGTGCCATCTGTCCAAGCTAGAGACACAGCCCAGCCCCTATCATCTGGGGACAGCGCAGATTAGACATGCTGGACACCACTAGCTCAGGTTTGTCTGACTTGCTCGCAGGCTTTGAAGAGGAAGCATGTTTTAAGGGGGCCAGTATGTGCGTGTCCCTGGAGAAGGGGAGATGTGTGAGAAATGGTTTATCTCAGCCGCCACTCCCGGCACTAGGGCTGCCATGAATGTTGCTGTTCAGGGCAGCCACACAAGTATTCCCCCTCCAAAGCTGACCAACAGCACCCGCTCTTCAGCTCCTCAGCCACGACCTCTCTTGGGTGGAGACTGTATCTCTCTCCCAACGTGGGGTTTGCAGGCTGCATGGTTCCCTACCTACGAGTGCTATTCAGCAGGCCAGCCTGCATAAACAGGCCAGTGTCAGAACTCGTCTCTCTCTTCAGAGGCCAGGAGCAGCTGTAATCACCAGTGAGTTACTTCCCGGTGCTTTACAAACAAGCGCTGATAGGAGAAAGCACTGCAGAGCAAACATTGCAACCAGTAGAAGAACCAACATGCAGGCTCAGAAGTAAGGCTGCAATTGAGTCATGGGTGCTTTTAAGAAAAGTCATGGACAGATCCAGGACAAGAAACAAAAATTCATGGCCTGTGACCTGTCTTGTCTGGGGGCAGGGGTTGCTGCTCTGAAAGAGGAGGCCAGGAACCAGCAGCACCAGTTGCCTGGGGTGACCGAAGCCAGCAGCTGCTCTGGGCCACCCATCCCCTGCCTCTCCCACTGCCCCCAGGGCCGCTGCTCAGTTGCCCGGGGCTGCCGGAACAGTGGCCAGCATGGCTAGCCCCGAGGCCACTTTGGGAGTGCCAGCGAGACTGGCTGCAGAGCAGCGGATGTCACAGAATCCATGACTTCTGGGACCTCCGCGCCAGACACAGAGCCTTATTAATAAGCTGAGCAGAGATGACTAACTCCAGCCTTGGGCCCTGGCAGGAGTCTGCCTTTCAAAGCCCACATAGGATTGTTTCAAGGTTCCAAGCTGAGAGCAGCCCTGGCTCAGAAGCTGCACCCTGGGGAATAGTTTGCTCTCTCCTTTAGAAAGCTTGGGGATGGAGCCTGGCAACAGGTAACAGGTGATTAGCAGCCAATGGCTCACTGCTTCAAAAGGCTAAGGGCGCGGTTCACAAGGGAGGCTAAGGGAGATTTGTACTCACCTCTCCCGTAGGTAAGAAAAATCACTTGACCCATTTTGTTCCAAAGGCCCACTCTTGTCTGGCACAGCCAGGATAGCTGTTTGAAGCCCCAGGTCTCACATGTGACACGCCTTCCCCGCAAGAGGTTACAGACCCTTCCAGGCCCACAATAACACAATCTATTTGTTTCATACAGTGGACACCAAAAGCACTAAAAGTTGGTTCAGTAAGACCTCCCTAGGCAATCCCTAGAGAAGGGGAGAGGTGAGCAAGCAGAGCTGTCGTACCTGGCATCAGGGCTGCCATAAATCTGACCTGGCCACGGTCAGAACTGACCTCTCAGCCTGAATAAATGGGGCAGAAGAGGTGAGCCAGGCCCTGTTCTCTGCTGCTATTGTGTATTTGGACAGAATGAAGAGTTGCTGATGTTGCAACAAAAGGCCCCCATAACAATCCCTCCCATTAAGCCCTGTTATAGCAATGCCCCGTCCCCTCCACAGTTTGGGGCTGCAATAGAATCAGTGGGACTCTGAGCGATCCACCTGGCTTGGTGCCTTAAGTGGTTTAGAAGCTCCATGTAGCAAGGACACAGTGTTGGCAGAGCAGACTGGCGAGGGACTGGACTCCTTGCCATTTGCTTTCTCCCTCGGATCAAAGTTCTTTTTCATAACCTCGAGCAAGCAAAGGAGACAGCCTCACTGGGCAGCCAAGCTGTGGGGTATTAAGTGGGCTAGCTGGAAGAGTCCCTTCTGTGACCCTGAGTATACGGATAGGCTGATGTAAGCGTTCAGGGGCTGTGAACCTGCATGCTGACAATCTGGCTGTTTTAAGAGGTCTCAAGGCACCCAAAAACTGAGGCACTGAAAACTGTTCCCTATTTTTGAAAGTCTGGGCCTATATTCCCCAGCTCTCCCCTTGACACAAAGCAGAGCACAGAGGTTCCAGGGGGAGGCTGCACCTGCAGAGCACAAAGCAGAGCCACGGTACCTTTTCTATTCATTCGGAAGGCATGCAAAGCCACAGGCCAAGACAGTAGGACCATGGCTGCTATGGCACCTACGTGGAGATAGGGAGCTGTGACCTGGAAAGGAGACAGGAGAATTGCTGTGAAAAGCCGATCCATGGAAACAAGCAGCTTTCCTTTTACCCTGTAGTTTTTAACTACAATACTGACATGGTTGAGTTAGTGCGCTGTACAGAGTCAATACTGCTAGTAGTATAGGCAGTTTTCCCCCAATCTTACACCCAGCTTGGGCCCTTTGAGAACTTCTCAGGATCCATAAGCAAGTCCCTCTCCCCTACATTTTCTTTATCCCCAGGGCAGGTCAGCTGAAGTTTACTGATGCGTTCCTCAAGCGTCCGTCAAACTTGCTCCTGAGTGAGCCCCAGAGGATGCAGGATAGCTATGCAAGGAACTCCTTTTCCCCAGGGGCTGAGCGCAGCATCTGAACTCAGATCCTTCTCTCTGATTTGGTTCTTATATGGCCCCCATCACCGCAGTACCTGACTGTCTTCCACCAGACCACCAGGCCATTCCAGCGAGCATCAGTTCCAATACTACATTACAAACGTCCCCAGTTATGGAAATCAGACCACTAATTGCATGGTGACTCACTTGAATGATAATGTTTAATATCAAACTGTACTACCATTGTACTAATATAACTGCAGCAGCTGATTACTTCTGCATGTATCAAATCATTTTCCCAATCTTGCTAGACTACTTTATTAACCTCACTAATATTCTTCAGCAGCCAGTTCCACAAATTAATAATGTATTTATTTACTCCTGTTTATTTAAATAAAGCACATTAGCTCAGATCAGAGAGTTTAGGTTCACAGTATTTCCAGTTGTGTTTCTATTTTTGTTTGTTTCAGCTTCAAGCCTGGGATTATTCTTCATGCTTTACTAACCCAAAATAACCGATTTACCAGATTACTGTTTTTGAAGGACTGATATACAATTCTAATCAATTTGACTGTAAAGGTTAAACAAGCACTCAAAGATGCAAAAGTGGCATGGAAATCTGACAAAAATATGGTGGTTTTGGCTAGGGTGACCATATTTCCCTATGCCCAATATGGAACACCAAGTGGGGAGGCTGCCGGAGCTCAGGGCTTCAGGGAAGATATTTTTTAGGACTGGCTGGCAAACACTGTTTTCCTCTCACAGGAAATGTTGACATTTCAGAATTAGTTTCCATTCCAAATCAGAACAGAAAGTAGAAATATAAACATTTTGCACAATGAAAAATGTGAAAGGATTTGAATTGGAAACATGGAAACCATTTTTTCATATTTTTGATTGAAACAATTCAGCATTTCAAAATGAAAAATGAAGTTTCTGATTGACATTCGGAAATGAACCAAAATGTTTCATCCCCATTCCTCTAAATCAGAAAAAAAATAAGAAGTGTCATCAACACTGAGATTTTATGGAAAATGTTGATGAATCACATCTCTGACAGAAAAAAAAATCAGCTGTTTCCATGTTTTCCATATATTTCCTGTTAAGGCTGTTGTTAACACGGGCTCTTTTTTTTTTTATGTAGCACATCTGCATTCTTACCTGAAATGACAGACGGACGACTTTCCATCGAACTTTCCACAGTTTAGAAAATACCGTGATGCCAGCTATGGAGAAGGCCAATACAACAAGAGTCCCAATCTGGGGAGACAAATAGATAGTGCTTCAGAATTACTGTACGGCAATTGCAGTTCATATTTCTGTGTGTATTACCCTTGACTACTCTTTCATGGTGGGTTATAAAGATGGCTTGGATTCCACAGGCAGAGAGTATTTTCTATGCAACTGTGATCTTCATGAACATCACCACTTCAATTGACCTAATTGAATTAAGTTAGGTCTACGCTACTTTGTAAATCTGAGCTAAGACTTGGGTTTGAGCCCAAACAGCCACCTACCATCCACACAGAAATCTTTCTGACTCTGCTCAGCAAGCATTCAGGTCCTAATACCTAGCTGGGGTAGGAAAGGTCCAAGTCAGAGCTTCTCTGTCAAGCTCAAGTGCTAGATCAGAGCAGAGCCGGCCCAAGCTAGCCCAGGGTACCCGATTGTAAGGGGCGCCGTGCATTGCTGCCGGGCCGGGGTCGCATATGCACCGCACACCCAGGGTGCAAGAATGGCTCAGGCCAGCTCTGGATCAGAGTCAAAAGGTCTGAATAATGTAGCATAGACGTTAGTATGGCTCTCAGACCCCAAGTCCTATTATTGTAAAGCCAGGTTTACAAAGCAGTGTGGATGCTTAAGCATGGGCTTGGAAACACTGAGTCCACAAATGTGGATCCATAGGACAGTTCAGGGTGGCCACCCCAGGCCTCGTGGTTTGTGGGGGCCCCACAGCAGTCACCTCAACCATCCTATTGATGGGCCTCAGGGTAGCCCTGGAGATTTCCTGAGGGGAGCCGAACACAGCGGGCTGGGACAGAGAAACCGATTGGATATATGAGCACTATTTCTCACTTCCTGTCTGTAGAGACGTTGGCTGTTTTGTTTGCGGAGTTGCAGCAGCCAGTTACAAAGGAGATGCCTACATTGTGCTCTCTCCTGAAGGCTTTCCATTTTTTTTATTCCTTAACCTTGAAGAGAATAGTCATGTTAGACCGGGGGTAGGCAAACTCCAGCTTTCAGCCGGATCTGGTTCACCAGGGTTAGTCTCGAGTACGCCCCCACTGTTATATTTACCTGTGCCTCTACAGGTACTGAACGATCACAGCTCCTGTTTGCAGAGGATCGCCATTCACGGACAATGTGAGCAGCAGGACGTGGTTCCCGGTCTATGCTGCTTCCCACCACTCCCATTGGCTGCAAATGGCGATCCACAGCCAATAAGAGCTGCAATCGCCAGATACCTGCAGAGACACAGGTAAACATAATGGTGGCCACTCACCAGGGACTAACCCTGGTGAACCACTGCATTTTTTTTACCGCCCACCCTTGCATTATACTGAACATCTGTTTTACAAAGCCCTGGCTGGGTTGATTTAGTTGGGATTGGTCCTGCCTAGAGCAGGGGGCTGGACTTGATGCCCTTCTGAGGTCTCTTCCAGCTCTATGGTTCTATGATTCTATGATACTCTATAGGGAACTTTCCCATAATTGACCTTAATTGTAAAGTGAGGATACAGAGTTATGGAGATGACTCAAATATCCCACCTTGTGACTCCAGTGCAGGTCCAACTGCTGACTTTCTGATAGCAAGCACACAGCTAGCACCTGTGAAATCAAATGGAAACCATCACATTCTAACATGACTTCTGCCTGCAGGGTTTTGAAGGCAGATGTAGAATTATATTGCACAACAAAGTCACTTGAAATGAAACTTTCCAAAGCTGATATTATTGCACCAGGAGGGACCATCTATATCCTATGCCGCCAGTTCTAAGAAATAAGGATGATGGAACTTTTCTTTTCACTGAACTTATGTCTTATTGCTTAACCCCAGGATGGTTAGAGGCCCATTATCCGTGCAATGCTTTGAAGGAATACAATCAATCAGTTTCCAGGGGGAAGAAATTTAAGTAATATGCAACTGAGCTGGGACTGGGTGAAAACTGGTTGAAACTAGCGAACATAACAGCAGCTAACCTCCCAAGCAGTTAAGTTTCTTTTTGCCATAGAAAGCTGAAAGAATAGGAACTACCACCCAAAATACAGGCAATAAATGTGGCTGCTCTGGAGTCTGATCTGTGAGGAAGAAGGGCTTTGACTGGGTGCTGAAATGCAGGATGCTGGATATTGTTTGAGGGAACAGTGTTTGTGTATCTGTGTGTGTCAGAGTTGACAACTCGAGTCCCACGACTTCAACTCGAGTCCAGCTTAAGTCGCCTAGGTGTCTCGACTTGAGACTCGACTCAGGTTCATTGTTTGTGACTTGAGACTTGACTTGAGACTTGCTAATTTTGTTAAATCGACTTGGTGAAAAAAATTGTCTGAAAATGCTGATATTGATGGTTTGTACAAAAGCGACTTGACATTTTTTAAATTAAGACTTGAGACTCGACTTGGGACTTGACTCAAAAGTGACTTTAGAGACTCAAGACTCGACTTGAAACTTGAACTGTAGTAACTTGAGACTCGACTTGGACTTGACAATGATGACTTGAAGACACCACTGGTGTGTGTGTCTGTGAAGAGAGGCAGGCACGCCATCGCCACACAAGGAGCAGATAGCCAGAAAGCATTCTTGTGGGCAAAATCTCAGAGCCTCTTGGCGGGCCGAGTGCTAGCTGGAAAGGGACTCGAAATTATGAGCAAAGAAACAGTCTGCTATTTGATTCTTACTACGTTTGGGGAAACAAGACTTTGTGTACATCCTTGACAACACCACAAAAACTGCATCTGGACTGACATGCTTCTCCTCCTAATGGAAACACTCCCAAGGCCACAAATATTGATTCATCACTTGGGCCAAAAACGGGTAGCAATATTCTGCCACACAAACGCACGTCTTTTCAGACAGCAGGCACCTCTAACTGCATGATAGAAACCCAAAGGAAGAATAGGTTTTGATGTGAGACATTCATATCAGCCAGTCTAAAACCCGGTCAAAACCCCTGACTGTGGCTCAAAGCCAACTCTATAGTCACCCATTATTGCAGGATAGAGCCCGAAGGTGGAAGATTCTATGCTGGACTTTCAGGCAGTGGAGCACAGAACAGAGCCCAGCAGGAGAGGAGACCAGGCTGCCTTTATGCCACCTACTCGCCCCAGGCATCATGTAGGCAGAATGGAGACATTTCTTAGGCCACAGCAGTCCCAAGATGCTCAAGAACATCCCCTTCTTACCCTGTGCACATCCCCCTGCACCAGAACTTGCAAGATGACTTGCATAATACACCCATAAGCTGTTCTATGCGGGGCATGTGCTGGGGGAATACTGTGCCAGCTAGATGCATAGCTTTTATGGCTGCACCGTAGGAGGGCTGGACCTTACCTACTATCCAAAGGTTCATAAGAATGGCCACAATAGGTCAGACCAAAGGTCCATCTAGCCTAGTATCCTGTCTTCCAACAGTGGTCAATGCTAGGTGCCCCAGAGGAAATGAAAGAAGAGGCAATCAAGTGATCCATCCCCTGTCTCCCATTCCCAGCCTCTGACAAACAGAGGCTAGGGACACCATTCCTATCTATCCTGGCTTATAGCCATTGATGAATCTATCCTACATGAATTTATCTAGCTCTTTTTTTAAACCCTGTTTTGATCTTGGACTTTACAACATTCCCTGGCAAGGAGTTCCACAGGTTGACTCTGCATTGAGTAAAGAAATATGCTGACACTGGGAGAAATAAGGGGAAAGGTTTTTGGGTGAGGCGTATGGGCTAACAGAGTGCTCTAGGAGCTGTGAGCAAAAGGACCATTTTTCTGCTATTTGATTCCCTCTGTGTTCAATGACACAGGACTTTGCACATAAACAAAACTGCATCAAGGACACACCTGACTACCACTGATGAATAGAGCTGTACCAGCAACCCCCATTTTGTAGTGATGCTTCCAATAGGTCCATAAACAGAGCAAGCTATACTGACAGCAGGACTTTTTGCTGGTATAACTGCATCTTCACTAGGGCTTTTGCCCACACAACCATATTGGTAGAGGTATTATATTTCACCCTGTCTACACTACAGAGGCCCAGCAACAGCACAGCAGCTGAGCCACTGAAGTGTTGTAACACACACAAAAGGGGGGTTTCCCATCCAAGAGCCGACAGATAAATAAACACAAGAATCCTTCTCTTGACCTACCGACATCTACAGTAGGGGTTAGTTTGACCAAACTATGGTGTTCACAGTGCAACATTTTTCACAGCCCAGGGCCACGTGCCTAATCTTTAAGTATGGACCAGACCTAAGCCAATCTAACTGTGCCCATATTAGGAGTTGTAGAGAGGTAACTCTATTACTAAAAACACATCACTCACCTAACCAACATAGTTACACTGGTACAGAACCTGTGTAGAGCAGACTTGCGGCTTTGGGATAGCTCAGTGGTTTGAGCATTGGCCTGCTAAACTCAAGCTTGTGAGTTCAATCCTTGAAGGGGCCATTTAGGGATCTGGGGCAGATCTGTCAGGGATGGTACTTGATCCTGCCATGAGGACAGGGGACTGGACTCCATGACCTCTCAAGGCCCCTTCTAGCTCTGTGAGATTGGTATATCTCCATATATTGGCTGGGGCAGCAGCAAGGCAGGCTAGAGCCCTAGCCCGATGGCAGCACAGGTCATGAGGGGAGGGACCTTCCTTGGTCCAGCAAATCCCCTTGTTCGGGACCAGTCAGGTCCTGAGGGTGCCAGATGAGCGAGGTCCAACCTGCAGTGTTTAGTTCAGCTTCTTAGCTGGGACTGTACACTGCAAGCCAGGTTGATTTCATAAAGGCAACAATTTGGGGTTTATTTTTGTTCCTCTCTGCCCCCTCCTCCTTTTCTGCTCTTCCCTCGTGTCACGAATCCGGGCAGAGTTCCTCTGGGCGGCATCCACTGGCTCCATTGACAGCTTTGAGGAGCAGTGGGCGCTGTCCGTGGTTCTCTACTCGGTGTCCCCATCCGGCTCCCTTATTTTAAACCTGTGACCCGCACTCCTTGACCCTGTTGTCATTTTTTGTCCTGCGGATTCAGTTGAACATGGGTTCAGTGTCCCTCCCATAAGGTTGGGAAGGGGCTTTTAGAATGTGGGCGGGCTTTGCCTGCCCACCTTCCCGTGATTTCAAATAGGCCTGCTAAACCCAGGGTTGTGAGTTCAATCCTTGCAGAGGCCATTTAAGGATTTGGGGCAAAAAATTTGTCAGGGATGATACTTGGTCCTGCTGTGAAGGCAGGGGGCTAGACTCATGACCTTTCAAGGTCCCTTCCAGTTCTAGGAGATAGGCAATCTCTCCATTAATTAAAAAAAAAAGCTGCATGGAGCAATATCATTAAATTAAATTAGACCGCATTAATTAGGGCACCTACCATTAGAAAAATTCTGCAGCTTCACTGAGCATTTTGCAAAGCAATACAGTCCAAAGCTGCTTCTGTCTAATTGGCAACCTGACCAGCTACAGAGAAACATCTTAGGTATCCTTGTAGCTTTCATCACCCTGGTATTTGGCCACCTCCAAGTCTTCAATGCATTTGTCCCCTGTGTGGTAGGGCAATGCTCTTATTAAAGTGGGAAACTGAGACTAAGTGACTCAACCAAGGTTACACAGGACATTTGTGGCAAAGCAGGGAATTGATCCTGGATTTTTTTTAAGCCCCAGATGAATAGCCTAGCCTAGCCCATCCATCCTTTGTTGCCTTTTTTTATTTAGAATGTTAGAACAAAATGTTATTATTTATTTGTACTACAGTAGTAGCCAGGGCCAATTGTGACTCGGGACCTCATTGTGGAAGGTACTGTACAAACACAGAACAAAGTATGCTCCCTGTCCTGAACAGCTAACAGTCTAACGTCTACACTGCAGGGCTTAACTTGAAATAAGTTACGCAAATTGAACTGTGTCAATTGCATAGCTTATTTCAAAATAGGGAGCATCTCCACAGCACTTATTTCGAACTAGAGCACACTCTTCCTCTGACTTCCCTTATTTCTCCTACAATGAGAGGGTTACAGGAATCAGAGTAAGAAGTCCTCCAGCTTGACAGTATTTTGAAACTATTTTGAATAACTGCCTGCTGTGTAGATGCGGACTAAGTTATCTCGGAATAGGGCTAGTTATTTTGAAATAGTTTTGCAGTGTAGACATACCCTCAAGTATTACATGAGAGGGACAACATGAGAATGCAAAAAACAGATCATGTAGATTACTAATGGCATAAATGAGTCCAAGATGTAACACAGACCCAGACCCCTAGAATTTCAGTGTGTTGTGTGGGTGTGTGAATTCATACTCGGGTATCCAGAACTGAACTGGTTTCTTACATTTTGGTTCTGGATCTAGAAGATGGTCATTTTCTGAGTGTGTTTTGTTGTTAGTTTTTTGCTTTCTTTTTTGGGAGGGTGGGAGATATTTCAGGATACCACCATCTGTTCTCATAACAGTTCTGTCATTATAAATAGTTGAAATCACAAAAGACCAGTGCCTTTTGCACTATGTCTACCTATGGGGGTAGTTGGGACGGTCTCAGGAGATCAGTTAGGATCTTGTGAGATTTTTAAAAAGTAAGATCCCAAGTGTTTTTTGCAGTTGTGGGCATAATTTTCAGGAGATCTGTTTGTGAGGGTGTGCACCCTTTTTGTTTAAATCTGTAGCAGGAAACCGGGAAGGGCCGGGGCAGAGCATGTTTCTAACTAGAAGGCCTGCCAGGAAAGAGAGACAAGCAAAGTAGTATGGATAATAATAGTTTCCGCATACTAACCAATGTCCCTTTGTTTTTAATATTTTTGTGCTGTCAAACCCAGACTTTGCTTGAGACTAAATGTAGATGCAAACACTGCTTGCTTGGTCCATAACTAGCTGTCAGGCAACAGCACTGTTTAAAGATAATGTTACTCACCAGTAACAGCGTGACATACGTAAACAAGACAGCAGCTACAATCAGAAGAAACACAGACCAAAGAAACCAGTGGCCTACATTTCCATAGTGGTACCTAAAAAGCAATAAAATCTTTTAAACTGTCTGAAACTATTAAGTTACAATTAAATAAATGTCTCAGAGGGGCAGCCCTGTTAGTCTGTAACCTTAAAAAAAGGGAACACAAGTAGTCCTATAGCACCTTAAAGATTAACAAAACATGTAGATAGTATCATGAGCTTTTGTGGGCACAACTCACTTCTTCAAATGAGAAATGTATTTGTCTAGAAACTAACAAATACATATATATTTGTTATATATGATATATATATATAGTATCATGAGCTTTCATAGGCACAATCTACTTCGGATGAGAAGAAGTGGGTTGTGCCCATGAAAGTTCATAATAGACACACACACACACACACACACACACACACACACACACACACACACACACACACGTATAGTATATATATATATAGACACACACACACTTTTGTTAGTCTCTAAGGGTATATCTATACTGCAGGGAAAAAGTCGAATTGAGATACGCAACTTCAGCTACTTCAATTGCGTAGCTGAAGTCAAAATAGCTTAATTTGGCTTTTGGTGCTGTCTGCATAGCAGGAAGTGGAAGGAAGAACATTCTTCTTTTGACTTCCCTTCACTCCTCATGAAATTAGGAGTCAGAGTAAGAAGTCCTCCACCTCCAAATTATTTTGAAATAACGGCTTGCTGTGTAGGTGCGCGCTTTGTTATTTTGAAATAATGTCAGTTATTCTGAAATAACGCTGCTGTGTAGATATAGCCTAAGGTGCTACAGGACTACTCTTTTTTTATTTATATAAATGCAAGCAATAAATTCCCTTCCATCCCTCTACATGCCTCTCCTGAAGGAATAAGGTATCCTGAAGGATAAGGTAGGGATAAATTGTATTTGTGAGTACTGGCCCAAGAGCATCGCTCAGATAAAGTTTCTGATCCTGAGAGTATTTGTATTGATCCAGCAAAGTGTTTCTCCTGACAGGCCGTACAATATCATATCTAAATGACCTCATTTGGAATACCATCTTGCTTCCCTGACACACCTGCACCCCATTTCATCCTGACATTACTTTACTAGCCAACGTCTCACAATCTGTTCGCCTTAGAGATGAGGACTATGTGTCACTTGCATTTCCATGCTTTCACCCTTGTGGTTTCTAGCACTAGTTTAAGACAATGCCCAACAAAATACCAGAATTCAGCTTTCTTTGCATCTGGCCCATGAACATGTCCCTCTCTGCTGGGCTAGACTTAGCCTTTCCACAATGAATTGCTCCATTCCCACTCCTTAAGCAACCAAAAATGCACCAATTTGGGGCTAGGTGGAGAAAGGCACAGGAGTGTTTTATTTCCTGTCAGAACTCAAAAAGCACCCAGAGACCAAAATGCTGAACCACATGTGCTATAAATACCCAGATTGAGATTAGGAGAGGAATACTGCACAGACAATCACTGACCCAAATAAATACTCTAACAATGTTACAGGGTTTTCCCCAATTGTGCAATTCACTGAACTCTGCTTGGTTCTGGGGGTCTAATTTGCATTGTCACTTCATGCATATTTCAGAGTTCAAGGATTTGCATAGTCATCGGCTGATTATTTCTCAATATCCATGCTGTGAACACACAAATCTCTCAACTCTGATTGGCTATGATAATCCTTCTGCTCTGCTGTATTCAGCAGTCAAGCTCTTTGACAGAAACAAAGTTGCCTTCTCAGTTTGACCTTTTTAGATGAAACCGAAAAAAATCCAAGAAAAGGAACAGGGATAAACCAAACAGCATTTTCATTCATTTAATTTAATCTTCCCATCCCCTTCTGTACACATGTATCCATGTAGCTAAAATGTAGATTCAAGCAATGTAATGTGCCTCAATGTACCTTACCAACCATCCTTTCTAACTTGCAGAAAGGAACAGCCTAGTATTGTTTGTAACAATGCATTAAACACTGTTTGTGTTTGTTATTAATGTTAAAGGGTCTATTTGTCACTAGTGTCACTCTTTCAATCACTGTTAGGATTGTTTTCTTTTTAATTTAAGAGTGTAAGGATGATTTTTGTACTAGAGCTGTTTTTACATAAGCGACTGTAATTTTTGTGTTTGTGAGTGCAGAATGAGGAATGTGTGTTAGAAGATAAGTGAGAAGGCCATCACCAGAAACAGAAGTTCTAGAGAGGAGCTGAGGACAAATGTGAAGGTGTCAGGAGATTGCTGTAACCCCTAGCAAGATGTGGATGAAGGGCAGATGGATGACACTAAAAGATAAGGCAATCAATCTGAACAAGATAGTTAAGATAGGGGAAGAACAACTTAAGAAAATGAGTGCTTGTCAAATGGTGATTGATTACAGCATTACAGTGCAAAACTTACTGATCTCAGTAAAGGAAAACTACCATAAAAAGGTGATAGAAATGTAGCCGCGTTAGTCTGGTGTAGCCGAAACAAAAAACAGGACTATGTAGCACTTTAAAGACTAGCGACTAACAAGATGGTTTATTAGGTGATGAGCTTTTGTGGGCCAGACCCACTTTCTCAGATCAAATAGTGGAAGAAAATTGTCACAACCATATATACCAAAGGATACAATTAAAAAAATGAACACATGAAAAGGACAAATCAAATTTCAGAACAGAAAGGGGATGGGAAGGGGGGGGGGGAAAGGTAAATGTCTGTGAGCTAATGATATTAGAGGTGATAAATGGGGAAACTATCTTTGTAATGGGTAAGATAATTGATGTCTTTGTTTAAACGTAGGCGCAAAGTATTGAATTTAAGCATGAATGACAGTTCAGAGGATTCTCTTTCAAGTGTAGTCTTACAAGGTCTTTGAAGCAGGATGCAGGTAATCAAGTCGTTGAGAAAATGTCCTTTCTGGTTGAAATGGCAAGAAACTGTTTTTTCTTTTGTGATCCTGTCTAATATCTGTTTTGTGGGCATTGATCCTTTGGTGAAGTGTCTGAGACGTTTGTCCAATGTACATAGCAAACGGACACTTTTGGCACATGATAGCATAAATTATATTTCTGGATGCACAAGAATATCTGTTCTTGATCTTATAACTCACTTGGTTAGGTCCAATAATGGTATCAGCAGAGTGAATATGTGGACAAAGCTGGCAATGGGGTTTGTTGCAAGGGAAGGTACCAGGGTCATTCATGCTTAAATTCGACACTTTACGCCTACGTTTAAACAAATACATTAATTATCTTACCCATTACAAAGATAGTTTCCCCAATTATCACCTCTAATATCATTAACTCACAGACATTTACCTCCCCCCCCCCATCCCCCTTCTGGTCTGAAATTTGATTTGTCCTTTTCATATGTGTTCATTTTTTTAATTGAATCCTTAGGTATATATGATTGTGACAATTTTCTTCCACTATTTGATCTGAGGAAGTGGGTCTGGCCCACGAAAGCTTATCACCTAATAAACCATCTTGTTAATCTTTAAAGTGCTACATAGTCCTGTTTTTTGTTTTACCATAAAAAGGGGCTGCTTTGCTAGTTTTTGAGTGTTATCCTGCCAAGATCTTGGAGCATCTGTCTGGATTGATATAGAGCCCTGCTCCTCCCTCCTTCAGCCTACCTGGCCAGCAGGCTGATAAAAACAACAGACTGGTAACTATAACAACATTGGCAGGAGAGACAGACAGACAGACAGACAGAGAGAGTGAGAGAGAGCGAGCGCATGCATATGCTAGCTGCTTTATTATTGTATTCTCGATAAACATCTTATATTGCCTTTTTCCCCTAAAAAGATCTTGTGTGCTTCTTATAAGCATAACAGAGAGGCAGGCAAGTTGTGTGTACCCAAAACAATTGTGATGCTTGAGTAACAAACATTTTTGTATCGGAGAGGAAGGATGTGATTGTGGTTAAGTCTCAGATCTGGTTTAAGTTCCTGGCTTTGCAGTACACTTTCCATGTGATCTAGGGTAAACCACTTTACCTCAGTGTTCCCATCTTCAAAATGGGGACAGCAATCCTTCCTTTCTCCCACCCATCGGTATTGTCTGTTTAGACTGTGAACTCTTTGGATAACAGGCTGTCTCTCACTCTGTGTGTGTAGAGCATCAAACACAACGGGGCCTTGTTCTGGGTTATGGGCTCCAGTGACAACTGTATTATGGATAATGGCAATATACAGTGGGAGAATCCTAGCCCTCCACTCACTTTTGAAGCCAGGTAAGTATAATAAAATACTTGGGGAGCCAAAGCCTTACTGAGTTGTGGCGTGAAGAGGGAAGGTGGAAGAAGGGAGGAAAGAAAAGGAAGAAAGTGTGAAAGTGAGGAGGAGAGGTAATGAATGAGCACAGGAAAGGAAGAGAGACCAAAGTACTTGCTTTGTTGACATCTCATTTTGATTTTTGTGGGTGTTGTCTTTCACTACACAAGTAGTTTAGGGCCAAAATTTTCACCTGCAGGGGCCTAAAGTCAGGTCCTAAATACATATTCACACTTATAGCCACCCAAAGCTGAGATGCTCAGCACTGGTGAAAATCAAGCCTCTTTAATTTAGGTGCCTTATTATGGATTTAAGAGCCTGACTTTGAAATTTTCATATCCAGATACTTAGTCTTAATATTTAAATAAGCTTTTCCATCTAACAACGTGAGGATACTTCCTGTTATAAAGCAGGGATAATAGTTCCTCATGGGAACGAACACCAGAGCCTTGGCCTTGGACTACATTTTCTGTAAAAACCTTGCTGTTCTGCTTCAGAGCTTATTCAGACCAGGAGACTGTCATGAGCATGTCAACAGGCAGCACCCTTGTGACATTCTCTGAATAAAACTCATCCCTCGACATCCCTTAAGTGCCCTGTGTGTATTATTGGCCTGTCTATATCTATCCGGAGATTGACACTCGGGAGACCAATCTTCCAGGGTTTGATTTAGTGGATCTAGCAAGGACTCACTAAATCTAACGCTGATGGCACTCCCGTCAGCCCCAGTACTCCACAGGGTCATGAGAAGTACGGGAAGTTGACTGGAGAATTTCTCCCATCAACCTCCTGCAATGGGAATGCCACAGATATTCAGTTTAAAGTACGTCAACTCCAGGTACGCTATTCTCATAGCCGGAGTTGCGTGTATCAAGTCGAATTTCTCCTTCGGTGTAGACCTGGCCTATCCCTCTCAGTCTGATGAGAATAAGCAAGAATAAACCCGTTTACAATTAAAAAAGGCACCATCCCCAATTGGTTAAGGAACTAACATGCTGGGCAGCTCCTATGACATGCTGAATGTTCTCAGTTCCCCTTACAGCCTCTGGGCCATGTCCAAAATGACAGTATTTAGCTTCACACTGCTGGTTGTCACCAGAGCTGAGAGGAGACCTCTGGCTCTCCCGATGCTGAGTCCATTAGACCATGCTGCCTAACCTCATGATTCCTCCTCTCTCTCCAGGCTCACAACCTAATTTCACGTGGCTGGAGAAGGAGGGATAATGCAGTACTTACCAGTCAAAGTTAATGTAGTCATTCTTTGCTTCCCCCCACATGTACAGAAAGACCAAAGAAAGGCAGAATGCTCCAATGAGAAACGGGAAGAACAAACATTCCCACTGGAAATGAAGAGAAAGGCCAGGTGGTTAAAGCTTTGTTTATCCAATGACAGACAGCGTATACTGCAGATATATTTGTGACCCTGAATTTATCCCTGTGCTGCCGCTGTGTGGAATAAATTTTGGTATGAGCATGTGCGGATGTGCACCACCAGTAGAAAGACGTGGTGCCATCTGTGGGCACTCTGCTAATCAACTGGGCGGCATTTGAATTTCTCCTGGGTGGCTGCCAAAGTGCTCAGCTTACAGAGAACACTTCTCTCAGTCAATCCTGAAACACAGGAACTTCCTGTGTGATGGAAAAATTTCTACATGGAAATATTCTTCCTTCATGTGAAAAGCCATGTGTGATGGGACCTCTGTGGTGCAGCCTGAGATTGTGGAACCGCTGTGTCCCCACCCTTGCTCCCCCAGCCTGGGCTGTCTCTCTCAATGCTTTACTAGTGACAAGCAGCAAACCCCTCCAGGTCCTGTTATCACTCAGTACAACAGCATGTGCAGCCCCACACCAAGCCAAATTGCACATCTGCTCTCAGAGCTACTTATGAATCACACAGAGAAAGACATCAGTCAGATCCCCCAGGTTCCCAGTTTATGATCCAGAGTGCTCGGAATTAGCGACCTGGCCTCTTCATTAATTACTCTCCCCAGGTTTTGTGGAACTTCACTAGTGATGATTTTATATTTTCTTCTGGGTCATCGATAAATAGCATAGAACTGATCTCTGAGAGCACCCTCTGGAAATACACCCACTTGATGACAATTCCCCTATTTGCAATCTCATTTTGATACCTATCAGTTAGCCAGTTTTTAATCCATATAATGTGCGCCATGTTAATTGTATAGCAGTCTAGCTTGTAATCACAATATTGTGTTGTACCAAGTCAAACCCCTTACATAAGTATATGTGTCAACACTTCTTTTACCAGTCCTGTAAAAGCCTCAAAAAAATCATGTCAGTTTGACAGGAGCTATTTTCCAGAAATCCATGTTTATCTGCAGGAAATACATTACCCTCCATTAATTCTTTATTAACTGAGTCCTTTCTCAGCCTAGAGTTATTTCAGACAGACAGGCCTGTAATGACCTGGGTTATCCTGTTTACATTTTTTAAAATACTGACACAACATTAGCTTTCTTCCAGTCTTTTGGAACTTCTACTGGGCTCCAAATAAACAAATACACACACACACACACACACACACACACACACACACAAACACGTTAATGGTCCAGAGAGTTCATCAGCCAGCTCTTTTAAAACTCTCTGAGGCAAGTTAACTGGACCTGCTGATTTTAAAATGTCTAAAGTTCAGTATCTTCTATTATCCTTCAGAGATACTAGTAATTTCCCTGAAGCATAAATCAGGACAGATTTTGGCCCAAAGCACCTTTTGGATACAAGCATGATGATGGACTTGTCCTGTAATTTACATTTCACAGTAACAGTAGCATGGCTCACGTACCATCTTGCAGCAGCATTGCCCCGGCTCAGTCCTCCTTCGCTGGTATCGCTTCCACCGGCAGCTGTAGAACCCCGCTAGGCAGGAGATGAAGGGCTGATGTTCGTACCGCTGCAGCAAGTGCCGACGCACCACCTTCAACTTCCCAGACTTGAGCTTCTTGAGTGCAACAGAACGTCTGTCCATCTGAGGGGGCTTATCTCATTTTCCCTCTGAAATGAGACTGCAAATCATTAGCAGACAGTTGTCCCATATCTGCTCTTGCCTCTCTAGATCACACATTTTACTTAGCCTGTCTGACCAGCAGGCTTTCCCCGAGTTAGAGCTACTGTGTAATCCCATTAGGGCAAACATGATCTTGAATGTAGCAGACTGAATGTAAAAGGGAATTTTCAAAGAACAAGCTACCAGCCTCCTCCACTGGCCTGCCAACACTGGCAGGGGAAGATGGATGTGAAGATATGTGCACTGTTTCTTTAAGACTTGGCAGGAAGGGAACTAGGGAAGATTCTGTGCAGAAGCTCTATAGTAAGGGAAAAAGAAACGGGGTGGATAATATTATTTCCATTATCCTAATGAAGTCCCTTGTTCAGTGACAGCAGACAATGTCTCCTTCTGTGAGTCTTCATACATCATCCCTTGTTTTCAGAGCTTATTGAAGCTTTTCCATCAAAAGGCTTTTAGATGAAAAATACACCTTTTCAACAACACAGTAGACACACCCTTAATGATCTCAACTTATTGTCATATACATCGCCTTGTGGTCAAGGCAAATCTGTGGTTATGTATCTGCAGATTTTCTTCTTACTCGGCACTGTCCAAAAGCTGGTGTCAAGTGCATATTCCAGTGTAGTTACTTGGCCTTACACATAAATCTCCTAAACTTGATATTCTCTGTTCCCTAATAGCTCAGGGTAACTACTGGGTAACTCAGTAATACTTAGGCACATAGGTGGCAAAATCCTATGCTAACTGCTCAAGCTATAGCTTGCAGGCTCATTGCTTTACTGCCTTTACTTGTCTTGCCCAGCAAATACCTACAGGCTACCAGGCTCAGGCTCTTGGTTTTGTGAGCAAAATAAGCTGTTTCCTGCAATGTAATCCCTTCTGCGTTCAGAGACACAGGACTTTGTAAATAAACAAAACTGCATCAAAGAAATACCTGACTATTGCCTCACACTCAGGGCCTCAGACATTGACTATCTGTGTGGGTCAAAAAGGGGAAACATTGTAACTGTAGAAGGCTATGTCTACATTGGCACTTTTGGTTGGGATTAAGACTGCAGATGGACATTTTGGCCCTCCAGGAAACAAGGCTATCGTCCTCTGGATGTCTCTGGGAGAAGGATTTTTCCTTTTTCTGGCACGGGAAGCCTCCAGAAGAGACCAGGGAACATGGTGTTGGCTTCACAATTAGAAACAACCTAGTTGGCTCGGTCATACCACCAAATGTGGGAACTGAGAGAATGCTGAAAATCCAGCTTCAAACATCAGTGGGCATGGCCAACATCTTCAGCGTTTATGCGCCTACTTTAACTTCTGCCCAGGAAGATAAGGACAAGTTCTATGATGAACTTACTATTGCTATCAGTGAGGTATCTTCCCATGAGCCGCTATTCATCCTTGGTGACTTCAATGCCAGAGTTGGCAGCTATCATCACAGCTGGCCATCCTGTCTGGGACAGTTTGGAACAGGGAAGATGAATGAAAATGGACAGCGCCTCCTTGAACTCTGCTCCCAATATGATCTCTGCGTAACCAATACCTTTTTCAATGTCAAACCCCAGCACAAAGTTTCGTAGCGACACCCAAGATCGAAACATTGGCACCAGCTTGACCTTGTCCTCACCAAACGCAGCCATTTAGGTAGTGTCAGGATGACACACAGCTACCACAGCGCAGACTGTGATACTGACCACTTGCTTGTGTGCAGTAAGGTGTGTATCCAGCCGCGAAGATTTTTTTGCTCCAGAAAGGAAGGGAGGCCGCACATTGACACGGGTAAGACTTGTGACCCTTCAAAAGTATGTGAGTTTGTCCAAGCACTTGAAGAGGCCTTGCCCCATTGGGATGACACTGATCTCAGCAAGAGATGGGAACAACTACGGGATGCTATCTATGATACTTCAATATCTATCTTTGGGAAGAAGACAGTCAAGTCTGATTGGTTTGAAGCCCACACTGAAGTGCTGACGCCCCTGATTGAGCAGAGGAGACAGGCACTGGCTGCATACAGGTCCTCTCCCAGTGAGGAGAACCTGCAGGCGCTCCGGTTTGCTCGGAGTCAAGTGCAGCAGGTTGCTCGGTGGTGTGCCAACGATTACTGGCTCCAACTCTGCTCCAATATTCAGCAAGCCGTGGACACTGGTAACATGCGAGGAATGTACAATGGGATCAAGCAGGTCATTGGTCCAACACAAAGGAAGACTGCCCCACTTAAGTCGGCCACAGGCGAGATTTTGAAGGACAGAACCAAGCAGATGGAGAGTCCGTAGTTACAGAGAGAGCCCTGAATGCCATCGAACCTCTGCCCACCATGACTGAACTTGATGCTGAACTCACCATGGAAGAACTTAGCAACGCGCTAAAAGCACTCTCTTCTGGAAAAGCCCCAGGGAAAGATGGTATTCCCTCGGAAATCCTTAAATGCGCTAACGGTACCCTAGTCTCAGAGCTGTATGGAATACTCTGCCAATGCTGGAGAGAAGGCAGCGTACCGCAAGATATGAGGGATGCTAATATCGTTACTGTCTACGAGAACAAGGGAGACAAAAGTGATTGCAACAGCTATCGCGGCATCTCCCTTCTCAGCTCTGTGGGGAAGCTATTTGCACGTGTTGTCCTGAAGAGACTCCATGTTCTTGCAGAGAGAGTCTACCCTGAGTCTCAGTGTGGGTTCAGACCTGAACGGTCCACCATAGACATGGTTTTCTCTGTTAGGCAACTACAAGAAAAGTGCAGGGAACAGAACAAACCTTTGTATATTGCTTTCATCTATCTGACCAAGGCATTTGACCTTGTCAGTAGAAAAGGTCTGTTTGCAATTCTGGTTAAGTTCAGCTGTCCTCCAACTCTGCTCAGCATTATTAGGGTCTTCCATGATGGCATGAGGGGGACCATCATATACAACGGATCCACATCCGAACCCTTCGAGAGTCTCAGCGGAGTGAAGCAGGGGTGCATGCTGGCTCCAACACTGTTCAGCATCTTCTTTGCAGTTTTGCTCAAATATGCCTTTGGAACTGCTACAGAGGGCATCTTCCTCTGCACGAGAATGGACGGCAACCTCTTCAAACTGTCGAGGCTTAGAGTAAAGACCAGGGTGCTTATGAAGCATCTAAGGGAGTTCCTTTTTGCTGACGATGCAGCTATTGCTGCTCACACTCTGCAGGAACTGCAGTCACTCATAACTTGCTTTGCGGACACATGTATGGAATTCGGCCTCACCATCAGCTTAAAGAAGACCCAGGCGATGGGCCAAAGCTTGGGTAACAAGCCATTTATCAGTGTGTTAGATTACGAACTGGAAGTCGTCCATGAGTTCGTGTACCTAGGCTCTACGATCTCGGACAACTTGTCATTTGATAGCGAGATTTACAAGCACATTGGAAAAGCCGCCAAAACATTCTCCAGGCTGACGAAGAGAGTATGGGCCAATAAGCAGCTCACTGTACACATCAATGTGCAGTTCTATTCAGCCTGTGTTTTGAGCACACTGTTGTACGCCAGTGAAACATGGACTTTGTGCTCAAAACAAGAGCAGCGGCTCAACACATTCCATATGCGCTGCCTTAGGCGTATACTCGGTATCTCATGGCAAGACAAGATCCCCAATAGCGCAGTGCTTGAGAGGGTGGGCACCATCTCCATGTTCACCCTTCTCAAGCAGAGGCATATTCGCTGGCTTGGCCGTGTCTCACGCATGTTGGACGGCTGAATAGCGAAGAACCTTCTCTTTGGCAAACTGGCGTCTGGAAAGAGGCCGAAAGGGTGACCTAAATTGCGCTATAAGGACACGTGCAAGCGGGATCTCAGCGCTCTCTCTATCAGTGTGAACACTTGGCATTCGCTCGCCTTAGACAAGCATGCTTGGAAACAGGAAGTGAAGGAAGCTCTTGCTATGTATGAAACTATCTTGGTGAAGGAAGCAGAAGACAAGAGAGTCCTGCCTACTGTTGCTCACAGTGCGGAAAGGACTGCCATTCCCGGATTGGATTGCACAGCCACAGAAGACACTGCTCGAATGAGTCCAACAAGGGCACAAACCCATGATCCTTCAGGATCGAAGGATGCCTGGGGGGGGGGGGGGAGGGAAATAAATTTTGGGGGGGGGGGGGGAAGGGAATTAATATTCAGTGTATGGGAATTAACTTTGCTATATAAGGGTTTATGGTCCTGCTTTGGGCAGAGGGCTGGACTCAATAACTTCCTGAGGTCTCTTCCAGCCCTAGGGTTCTATGATTCTATGAAAGTAGTGATAGGCATGTGAATTAACATAACAACATGGATAAAGGAGTGTAACTGATGCATAATCATTGCCACTCAGAATGTTGTGCTGGGGGTCCGAGGCTAACACGCATGGGCAATAAAGCAGTTCCATTTACCCCATCTGCTCCTGGGTCACCTGTTTCTCCTCTAACTCTTTCGCTAATAAAACTTTTGTCATTCAGGGGCAAATGACAAGAGGTTTAACAATGAACAGCACCGGTGTGGACAATGCTTCGGCAGTGGGAGTTGCACTCCTGTCGACAAAGCTACCGCATGTTGTTAGGGATGGTTTTACTATGGCACCAGGAGAGCTCTCTCGCAGAGATAAAGAGCAGCCATATTGTGTGCCTTACAAGGTTGCAGCTGCAGTAGCACAGCTGTACAGTGGTTATATGGTGTGCTGTGCAGCCATAGCCTCAGACATATTTATACAGGTACAACTGCAACCACATCAAAAGTTGTACCACTATCACTATATTAGTGTAAAAAAAAATCCCAGCCATGTGTACTGGTACCACTTTCAAGTGTAGACTGGGCCTTTAGTAGCAACAAAGAAGATTGCATATGAAGTTATTCAGTGTGTAGGGTTTTAAACAGGTGTGTTGTAAGCAAAACTCGTGAAGTCATTCTGCCACTCTACTCTGCACTAGTTAGGCCTCAGCTGGAGTAGTGTGTCCAGTTCTGGGCGCCAGATTTCAAGAAAGATGTGGAGAAATTGGAAAGGGTACAGAGAAGAGCGACAAGAATGATTAAAGGTCTAGAGAACATGACCTATGAAGCCAGGCTTCATGAACTGGGCTTGTTTAGTTTGGAAAAAAGAAGATTAAGGGGGGGACATGATAGCGGTTTTCAAATATCTAAAAGGGTGTCACAAGAAGGAAGGAGAAAATTTGTTCCTCTTGGTTTCTAAGGACAGGACAAGGAGTAATGGGCTTAAAGTGCAGCAGGGGAGGTTTAGATTGGACATTAGGAAAAAATTCCTAACTGTCAGGGTGGTCAAATATTGGAATAAATTGCCAAGGGAGGTGGTGGAATCTCCCTCTCTGGAGATATTTAAGAACAGGTTAGATAGACATCTGTCAGGGATGGTGTAGACGGAGCTTGGTCCTGCCTTGAGGGCGGGGGGCTGGACTCGATGACCTCTCGAGGTCCCTTCCAGTCCTATTATTCTATGACTCTATGATTCTATGACTTCCAGAAAAATTACAACTAATGCGTGAGTTCCGCAAGTGGCACAACAGTATGAGTTAGGGTGTGTCTAGACTACAGGGTTTTGTCGACAAAAGTGGACTTTTGTCGACAAAACTATACCTGCGTCCACACTACCGCTGAGTTCTGTCGACATAACGTCGACAGAACTCAGCAGTTTTGTCGACGCTGGTAAACCTCATTTTACGAGGCATAACGCCTTCTGTCGACAGAGTTTCTGTCGACAGAAGGTGTTATTGCATCTAAACTGTCCTTTGCGTCCACACTACCATGTCGACAAAGCAGCTTGCTTTGTCGACAGAACTCAATGTAGTGTAGACGCTCTTTGTCGACAGAAGTTTTGTCGACAGTATCTGTCGACAAAACTTCTGTCGACAGAAGCCTGTAGTCTAAACGTACCCTATATGAAGAAGTATTTCACCTGACAAGAAAGTAGTGACATTATGGTGCAAGAAATAGGAAAACAAAAAAAGACCTGTGGGAGAACACAGAAGCACCATTGAAAATGCCTCTTATGAGCACTAAGTAGGCAAAAGTGATTTTGTTATACTAGAGAGCTTAGGAAGTGATTGTTTGTCACTTCATACATATTACCTGTTCTGATCTGAAATCAGGAATGTCTCCTGCAAGGTTTAGTAAGTCACTCAGGGCTTTGGCTTCTTGACCTAATTTATAAAATACAATACTAGTTAAAAATAGATATATGCAGTTTGCACTTTCCATCCTTATGCATGTTTCCACACAATGAGCTGCTTGTGAATGACTGACAGAGCAAGAGTTCATTTTTTTATTTGAAGTTATTTGATAAATCATTCGAAACAATAGATCCATTCAAAAATCTCCTGAGTCATTCACAGACTATTTGCCAATAGAAAAAGAGGCAAAATTGGTCAAATTAGTTACCAAACTCTATTGAACACATTCTGTGTTAAATTCTCCCTCCTGCAATGATGCAAATGACAGTGAAGTATGGCAGTGTATGTTTCATGCAACTCAACCTATGAAAAAGATTTACATATATCACTACAGCTCTGCCAATACCAAGCATTCAAAAATCATTAGTCAGACCTCAAAATAACAGGAAAATAGCTTAAGCAAGTGCTGGATTTTTTTCTCTCTTTTTTAAGCCATTAGGTTACATTCCACAACAATTTTCTTTAATAAAGCCAAGATTCTCAATCACTTGCCTCTAAGGCTTGCAGCTTTAAGCCAGACCCTAAATATCACTAGAATAGCAATAAAATTGCAGAACTGGATGTTATTTAGTGTCAGAAACGAGCTGTATAGATTACTGACAGGCCTGACCATGACCTCTGTCCAGGAGCATTACAGCAGATTTAATGCTCTTATTCTCTTTGCATAGCTTGCGTGTTTTGCATCTTTTCATTAAGCTCCAGTTCTTGGCTATTGTGGGAACAGGTTTTTTCCTCGGTCCTTACTTGAGAAGCTTTATTCCTGGCATCAATGCAAACAGGATTAGACATTTAGGAAAAAATTGAAAATTTGCCTAACAGGAACCTCAGAATTTGGGCCATTTTTACTTCATACATTCCCAGAGCAGTCTTAGAGCTCCCAAATTGACAACTATGGGTGTGCCATAGGGCAGAATCCACATTTCATGTGCGCACCATGCCAATGACTTGATGCCTTAGTTTTTCCTTGTCAATCATTTCCACCATTCTCAACCCACTACTATTTTTTTCAGAACTAAAAAAAAATAGTGGGGTGAGCAGAAGCAACCAAAAGACACAAGGTGCCTTCTAGTCTGAGCTCCCATTGTGTAATCTGTGTATAAAACCCAACATTTCATTCACTGTTTTACATCCATCTCACATCCATTCATCAGCCCTTATTGCCCCTAGGTTTCAACCTTACTGCTGCTTGGGTTTCTCCTTCCCAAGTAGTATGACAGACCATTTGTCCCGAAATCTCCCAGCTTCATTTTCCCAGGCTGAATCTGCTTCTCCTTGCCCAGTATTGACACCAGCTTGTTATTAACTCTCTCCCTGGTCTCTATAGCCTTTTCACACTGCATTGCCCCACAGCCCTTGTCTCGGTTTGCTCTGTCCCTTCTCTCTCTCTACTCAGAGACCTGGTTTGCTGCATCTCGCATCCCAGTAGCTGTTGCCCAACAGACACAGAACTTTCCAGCCGTGGTTCCAGGGAGGCCCCGATGGAATGTCCTCAAGCCTCAGATCAGCTTATCTTAAAGGGCCGGCAACTGTTAAAGGGCCATAAACCCTGTTGCTAATCTATGAACTGGTGTAAATTGGTGTCATGTGTCAGCTGGTGTAAATCTAAAAATATGCCAACTTGCACATTAAGACTCAAGTAACCAACAATAATCCTTCCCGTTTCGGTCTTTTCAGGAAGATGAAGTTGTGCAGCCTTTGTGAATGGGATTTCCTGTGCCTCTCCGACTGGTCAAACTAGACATTGGTTAGACTGGTGACCTACTGTGACCTACAAAACTCTAAGTTATGCAAACCTATTTGCATTTATTGTTACGTGTCTGTTTAGTTGCCTGTTACAACCCTAGAGCAAGTTTTGTCAGATAGACACTGTCTTTATTTGGATTGTTGACAACAGGGGCAACATCAGCCCTACTAACAAACAACAACAACAGAGAAAGGACTCCCCTATCCTAGCTCCTAACCACCTAAGAAAGGTGATTCATAACTAAGGCTACTCACCACATAAGCTGTCTGTGTTTGAGCTAGGACCAGCAGTGATGGATTATCCAATGGTGACTCTAAAAACCCATCTCCTGTTTTTCAGTTTTCTGTAAGAAAGAGTTAAAGAGCAAAGTTAAGGTTATTTAGGTGTTCATGAGTCTTTTTCTTTAAGTTTCACCTTAATATGGAATTTCTAGGATTTCTAATATTTCTGTTTTTCTGAGAAAAATGACAAATGTTCCCTTAGAGGTTTTTAGTAGAATACAAATCTTAATTCCAGGCACATTATGTTTTGCCTAGACATTTCTTTAGCATTTTGAATAGGCTTGAGATGAAAGTCCTTGATATTAGGATATCCACTGTGGCCCAGATCTTCAAACATACTCAGTGCCAAGCAACAACTACTGGCATGTACATTAAGTGGCCAGATTTTCAAATGGTACCTACATTAATATTTCATCTAGATGGCTAACTGGAAACAGCTCTTTAGAAAAATCATACTTTATCCATATATTGGATAGCTGTGTAGTGCTAACAAAATAATATTGAATCAGTCAATAGAGGTCAGTAGGAATAAAGCAGCGGATGCCTCTTTGCCTCTTTCCAGGGATTGGAGTAGCAAGGTAAAGTCTGCAGGGGGTAAAGGAAGGCCTTTCCAAAAGTTCTGGAGAGTAGCCCTTTGAGTGCAGATCCCAGATCAGCCAATGTGCTCCAAATGCTACTTTATTCTGCAATTGCATGGGCCATGATGTGGTTAAAAATTAAGCTTTTGGAGCCAGGAGAATGAAGAATAAAATGATTTAAAATAAAACTGAATGACAGCAGCCAAGAGGAGGAGAATGAACTTTTGACAAGCTTTAAACAAAATAGGAAGAAACCATTTTCTCCTAGGCAGGAACAGTGGAGACGCCATGCTGGAAGGTGGTGTTGTATGAATTTAAATGGACTAAGCGTTAACATAACCCAGTCCCCAACCAATATTAAACAGAAGGAAAAAATAGTTAAAACATTTGGAATTAAACTATAAAATAAGGCTTCCATTTTAACACCAGATCTTGTTTCCTCTCCCTTTACCTGGAGAATTTAGGGAAGGAAAAACCACCTTATATGACCGTCTCTGGTGATACTGTCTTTTTGGGTAGAAGAGAAGAAGTTGGTTGAGATGAGTGGGAGCTGCTGTTGCTGCTGCTAAGTCTGATGCTGTTTCATCTCAGGTGGTGGCTGGGATTCCGCTGGAGTTGGTAGGGACAGCGACATCACCTTGGCCCCTCTCTCTGGCCCCATGTGGTCAGGACACCCCTTTAGGGTTCAGAGGAAAAGGGCCTTGAGCAGTTGGCTTTTGCCAAAAAGTGGAATGCTGACCATGACACACCTAAAGAACTGCAGTCTGTTCCTCCACAACTTCCTCCCATCTTCTGCCTGCAGACCCC